AAAAAAAAAAAAAGTTTGGTAAAATTTCTTACAAAGTATTTATATAACTTACCAATAAGTTAACCATTGAGTATCGTCGGTTTTCTCTGCACTTTCAATGGCTTTGAAAGAAGCATAAACTATTATCAAGAGAAGAAGAAAAAAAGTTTTTTTGAATAAAGTTTTTAAAATTTGAGAAATTAAAGGAACAAATAATAATTAATTACCAGGATAAAGCCATCCGATAAGGTTAGAGAGTAATTCCCCCCAAAAATATCAAAATATCAAAATAGATACAATGCCTAAAACGCCAGCTGCAAGGTAAGTTTTTGAAACTCCAGTTGTTTGTTCCAACTTATTTATTTGTGGATATTTTGCTAATTTTTTGTCGGCCAGGGAATTATAATATCTGAATTTGTCTTTAACAGCATCCATTTTTTTTATTCATTTTTTTTTTTTTAAATAAAGTAAAAAATGAATTGTTAGAAACAAGATGATAGTATTTTTTTTCCCAAAGTCAAATATGCAAATCATTGATCTTTATGACTTAGTGACCCATTTAAATAATTAATACGAATCGGGGAGAGCATGAGATAACAAACTAGTTGGTTAACTCAGTAGAAACTTGGCATTAATCCATTGGTTTAGTATATTTAACGTTCAAACAATAATTTTTTCTTTATTTAATATTAATTTTCATTATGATATGTACGATAATATCGATCAAGATAAAAAGGTAACGAAAAAAAGATTAATTATCAAATGATGTCTTGCCTTATCACGCTAATTAATATTAAAATAATAATGTTATGGTATTATGGTAAAAGCGCAGAATTTTGAATTATAATCATCAGTTACCCAAATATTTTCTCTGTTCATCACCATTACTATTATTAAATTGAAATAAGAAAATCCCTACTAAAAAAATGTTCAATTTAAATACAATCTGGTTCAGTTATAACAATAGGTGTATTAATTACATTTTTTACCCCTCCTCCTCCTCTTCTTCTTGTTGTTGATGTTGATGTTGATGTTGTGAACATGACTGTGACTGTTGCGGATATTCGGTTGTTTCAACTTCAATTTGTGATGGATCTGATGCCTCTATTGTGGTCACAACAGGTGACACGTCTGTTTCAACAAATGAATTAGTTATACTATCTCCGTCTTCATTCCTTATTACTACCGTTATTACTTTAATAGTTATTGTTGTAATTTGTTTACTAGTACTACAGCCTGGTTCTGAACATATAGTGCATGGAGCAAATTTTATTCTAGTATTCTCGCCAGATCTTGAGGCTCCTTCTTCTTCTTCTTCTTGGTGGTGGTGGTTTGAAGCTTCTGTGGTGGTGTTCATGTAGTTCAACAATGAACTCTCTTCTAAATTATTGTCTTTATTAACATGGTTGTTGGTAGTATTATTATTATTATCGGAAGAAGGAATAGAAGACAATTCCACCATATTTTAAAGTTTTTGTTTGTTTTTTACTAAAAATGGATAGATTAATCAAAAATCTTTGCCATAAATGAAATAGATCTGCAGCACACTCACGTGGAAACAGATTTTCGCTCTAAGCAACATAGTCAGATGTAAAAGATTATTAAAATAATATAAATATATTAATAGTATGTTCATGAAACTATAAATCAATATTTTTAAACATGTTTTGATTCATATTCAAAAAAAAAAGATTATTGGTTAATCAATCAGAATTAAGGTTGGAGAAACCAGAATATAGCCCGATAAAATGTCTCGCCTAGCAAACGTCAACAAGTGGCAAACACTTGACGAAAATTCTTCTTTGAGATTTGCTAAAGAGAACGGCAAGATATTATTATATAAATAGCAGTTCTGCTGCTGATTGTGTGAACAACTCAAACCACTGAACGTAGTATAGTCATGAAAGGGAAATAAGTGGATTTTGAAAAAATCTGTCCAACTTCCTTAATAACAAGAGTAGAAACCTTTATCTTTCATATAGTTGTTAAAAATTGGATATTGAATAATGTTTGGTAAGAATAATAATTACATACATATATATTTCTGGCAGTTGGACGTTTATTTGGGTTAGCATCTATATAAAGGTTTGGAGTATTATTTGAAATCTGGTCTTCATTTTTTCACTTTACTAATAATATTAGAAAATAAAAATAATTGAATTTAGTAATTGAATTAGTAATGTGTCGCGAAAAAAAAAAGTAATTTAATTTAGCAAAGTGTCGCGAAAAATAAAATAATTGAATTTAGTAATGTGTCGCGAAAAATAAAGCAATTGAATTTAGTAATATCTTGCAAAAAATAAGTAATTGAATTTAATAATGTCTCGCGAAAAATAAAATAATTGAATTTAGTAATGTCTCGCGAAAAACAAAGTAATTGAATTTAGTAAATGTGTCGCAAAAAGTTTAAAAATAATTGAATTTAGTAATGTGTCGCGAAAAAACAATTTAGTAATGTCTCGCGGGAAATAAAGTAATTGAATTTAGTAATGTGTCGCAAAAAGTTTAAAAATAATTTTCTTGTAATTATTCACTGAATTTCTTATAAATAAAAGAACTAGGAATTGTACTTTGTAATAATTTATTAAAAAAATCATTTCAGCTAAAAATTTTTTTCTCGAATTTTAATAAAAAAAAATAAAAATGTCATCAATTGATCAATCAAATAAAAAAAGAAAAGTTTTGACTTAAAAAAAAACAACTTTGTGAATTTAATGAAAGAAATCCATCATTCACATATAAAGAACTTGGCCAAAAATTTGGAATTGCAGAACTTACTGTTTGCAATATTTTAAAAGATAAAGATAAATGGTTATCTATCAACCCTAATGATACCAACAGACAAAAAGATAAAGCTGCAAAATATCCTGATCTTGAAAGTGCATTGATGATATGGTTCAATCAAGCAATTTCAGATAAAAGAGTAATTACAGGTGATATAATCCTCACTAAAGCTAAAAGATTTGCCGAATTACTAGATATCAATGATTTTAAAGGTTCAGATGGTTGGGTGTCGAATTTTAAGAAAAGAAATAACATAAAGCAGTATGTTATGCATGATCAAACAACAAACTTCTTTTTTTTTATTTTTAAAAAAATATAACAATGCCAAACAATCGAAGTCAAAGTAATAAAAAAAGAAGCAATGATAATAAGTATGGTGCAAAGAAGAGGTAAGCGTTTTAAGGATGGTGGTGGTGGTTATCGCCCGCCACCCGTCGTTACTCTAGTTTTTTATAAAAATAATGCCCAAAGAATAAACTTTTTTTTTATTAGTAAATTATACTCTGATCTTAGTATTGATTCGATTAGAAGAAGAAAAAAAAGAGGAGAAGATCGTATGCTAAGTACTAATAGTAGTAATAGTAATAGTGCTAATGAAGATTTAAGGTTACGAGAATGTTTTTCAGATGATAATGGGAGGACTTCATCTAGATATAGAGATAATTGTTTAAAGTTGAATAAATTAAGCCATTTGGAAGGTGATAATTGGAGAATTAAAGAAAAAAACGTTGAGCAACAACAACAACACCAAAAACAACATGAAAATAAAGAAAATGATATGGTATTTATTTCAATAAAATATTATTTTAGTATTCAATATTGTAAACACTAATTCAACATAAAATAATTTTTATATATAATTATCTTCTGCACAAACAATCATGCTCTTTAGAGTTGGAAGAAGAAGGCGGAGGAGTTGGAGCTGGAAGTGAAGCGACTAAGAAGAAGATTAAAAGGCATTGAAGGTAAAGATCTCGAACGTAAATGTTGGGTTATACATTGAAGGCAGATAAATATTCTAGTTACTATAAAAAATGTCAATCATTCACTGATTCACCAATATAAAAAAATTATTTTTCGTTCATTCCATTTTGTTTATTTATTTATTTATTTGGTATATATACTTTTTGCAATTTTAACTGATTCTTGCTTTTTATTTTTCCATTATTATATTCCCATATTTTTGTTTTATTAGAAGGTAAGAAGCGCAAATATGAAGGTAAATTTTATTTAACATGAATTACATGAAATCTTCTTTATACTCTTATTCATTTTTTCACCATTCACATCGCCCTCCTAAATATTTTGATTTGCCAACAACTTTTTTCCATCCAACTTTTAACAAATTCCTTAATCACTATAATGATAAAACTCTCAATATACCTAAAAAAATCTGTGAGGGTGTGTTCTACTTTGTAGAAGAAATGGCTGAAATTTTTTCACATGAAAAACCTTGTAAAAAAATATTACATGATTTCCTAAGAGTCTGCCTTGATTTAAATTCTTTGGAGTTGACCCTTGATGATGATTCAAGCAATGATGGTGTTGTATTGTTGGTAGAAAAAATATTTGGGTATTGTAATTGAAGTAAAGGCAGAAATAGGCAGTGGAAAATGTGATCCTTACTTACAAGGAAGTTTTAGAATATAGTAAATTTTGGGCGTAAGTGCATAAATTTATTTAATGCAATTGAAAATAATCACAAGTACATGTTTGAATTCACATTTATAATTTGGTGATATTTTATAGTTTAAAGATTTCAAAGAAAATTGTAATTGTCCATCATTTATTATATGTTTAGCCGGTCCATGGATGTGTATAGCTTCAGCCATTTTTTTAGATCGGATAATTATAGATCCATTGACTGATTTTATTCCACTACAACCAGCATTTGATAATTATGGTCTTGATCGAATTTCTAGGTTATTTTTTGCATTGAAATCTGCAATTATTGATTTAAAGGAATTCTATAGAAAGATAGAGGCACAGAAAGTTTTTCATGGACACCAAAATTTTTTTCCATATGTAAATACATTTGTTCAAGATGGAAGGGAGGTAAAATTTATTTACACAGAACACATTTCTAGAGGTGTATACAAGGCAAAGATTTCTAAA